AAAGAGTCATGACCACAAACAACTATGTAATCACAACTTTAATAAGTACCACGGAGGAGAATATTGTGGATACTACACCACAATAACTTGGAAACCAGGCATTTGTGTGTCATTACAAATCCTTATGACAACACTGATGCACACACACACACATATATATATATCTGTATTCCAGATGAAGAAACTGAGGCTCAAAGAAATGGAAATTGTCCAAGGCCAAAAAGCCAGTGGAAGACAGAGCCAGACTTTGAACCCTGGCCTGTAAACAGGTAGGGATGAGGTCACGTGAGGCTCTGACCAGCCATCCTGGGTCATCGTGGAGCCCCACCACCACCTGCCACATCAATCAAGCTGCAAACGGACTAAGTGAAGGCACGTGGCTAGGACACCATCGGGCCGAAGAATGCAACCTAAACTCTGAGACATCCAAGAACACCTCCCCCTCGCCAAGTGCCTGCACACAGGGCCTTCCCAAAAGTCAGGGCAGGGAGAGAATAGGGAAGTCCCCAGGTAACTAGAGCACACTCCACTGTGACTCATCTCCAAAGAGCCTACTGCCCAGCACCCAAGGGAACACAATGAAAAAAAGCCAGACATTCTGCAGTCAGCTTTTGGTATTCACACGGAGCGTAAGTGAGGTGGTACAGGCTAGCACATGACAACTTCAGAGACCCCCTGACATGAATTGCTAGCACATTCAAGCTGCATGCCTTCTGCAAATCACCTCACCCTTTGTGCTTCGGTTTACCCCTCCGTGCAATGGGGATAAATACGTCCACTTCAATGAGTTACTGTGAGGATTCAATGGCAAGGCAAGGGAAAAGTTCGGACAGTGACCACTGCCCATAAGAGCACTTGGGACAATGTTAAAGGAGCCAGATCGAGACACTTTCTCTACCCCCATCCCCTTCCTTCAAATGAGAAACTGAGACCCAGGAAGAAAGAAACTGATACAGAACTATCTCATCTCAGGAAGCATCTCAGGAAGAAGAAGGGGACCTCTAGGTTTCCTGGGTAATAGGATGAGGAAGGACAGTGAATGTATTGGCAAACGTGCACAGCCCAGCCCTTCCTCCCAGGCGGAAGTCAATCCTAGACTTTCTCAGGCGCTACAACCAGACAACCCTCTGTAGGCTGCAGGGCACCTGCTCCAGGTCAGCGAGTGTTCAATCATTCGGGGCCCCTTGGCAGGCTGGCCTCTGCCTGCCTCCCTGGCTTTGCCTGCTGCCCCTGCTTCCATATGCCTTGTGGTGACGGTGCCCCAGCTGCACTCCCCACTGCTCTCGAAGACGCCTGGCCTCCGTGCCTTTGCACAAGCTGTTCACTCTGCTCAGGCTGCCTACCCCTCTGTTACCACCACCTGGAAAATTGTCTCTGAAGGGCTCCAATGGGTTCCCACAGCAAACTTTGCCCACCTGTTATTGGTCATCACAGACTAATAATAACAGCAACTAACATTTGCAATCACGGATTAATATCTAGAAGCCCTGAGCTAAATTTCTCAACCACGTGGTCTCATTTTTCTCCCCACATCAACACCCTACGCAGGTAGCTTACATGCTTGACAGGTAAGGCATCTATCTGTCCATCACCACCAGCTATAAGCTGGCCGAGTCCGGAATGAAACCTGTTGGCTGGCCTGGGCCCACCCGTGCATCCATCGCTTTATTCTTCACTCCTCTTCCTGCCAGTGAAACTGTTATCCTTTGCTATCCGTTGGGGACAGTAGCCTCACAATCTGTTTCCAGGCCTGCCTCTCCCCTCTAGAGAAAGAACCCTGAGAAAATCTTAAAACCCCTTGCTAAGCACGAGGTCTAAAAGAGAGCAAACATCTGTTGAATAAATGAATGAATCCTGAAAAAAAAGGGCAGCCAGAGGAGAAGGGCCCAGTAACAGACTTCCTGAGGACAGGCCCACGCTGCACTCAGATTCCCAGGAGGCAGGCCCCCCAGGCGGGGAGGCTTTCCTCGTCCTGGTAGCTAGAGGCAGAAGAGGTCTGATGGAGTCCACCAGAGGTGGTGGGAGCCCTCTGCAAAGGAGGAAACAGCAGTGACAGTGACAAGTATCACTTCCTGTGCTCCTGCCCACACCAGGTGCTGCACTAAGCACTTTCTGGGCTTTCTGGTCTCACAGAATCTTCACAACCCCATGAAGTCAGCATGACTGTCACTCCCATTTCACAGATGAGAAAGCCAAGGCTCGGAGAGAGTAAATAATTTACCCAGGACCACAGAGCTGTTAAGCATAGAGCCATAATTTGAACTAGACCGGTCTGGTCCCTTGCTCTTCATACATTGTAACTTTCTGTAGGAGTCAGGCTCATCAAGCCCTCCGTGAAGCTGTCTCTAAGATGTGCTGAGGATAAAGGTCACCTGGTCTCTGCTGGAAGGAGGCCAGTTGGGATCCACTATTCACCAAATGCTCCAAGTCTTCAGTGCAGGGAGCGGGGGGGTACAGGGGATGGGGGAGTGGAGGGGGTAGTGGCTAAGTGGGGGCAGGAGGGCAAGGTTGGGTGGGGATCCTGAGAATCCAAGCACAGCCCATGAATCCACTTATGTGCCTTCTTCGACCTGCAAACCCAGGCTGGCTGCAGCCTCTGGGGGTTAGAGAAACCTCACTCTGGATGATGGAGCAGGTTTTGAGAGGAACCTGGGGCTCTAGTTTCCAAAGAGTCCTAATGGGCTCTGCAGAAAGGTTTGGCCTTGGGGGAAAACCCACCTTCCTCCATCAACAACCTCTTAGCCCTATGGCTCAGGCTCCCAAACAGACTTAACTACGTGAGGATTTAACCCCAACTCCAGCATCTTTACCCAAGAGATGAAGTCTGAGGATGCACTGGCCTTGCCTTCCACGCACGTCCTTCCCTGCCAGCGCAGATCCAGAGAGCCCCAGGGTGGAAGGAGCCCCGATGCATGAGATGCAGAGGATGAACACCACAGTGGGGGCAACCGAAAGAGGGGCAGGAAGGATCAAATGGTCTTCCTGTAGGAAGACATTCCAGAGGCTGGAAAGAGCTGGAACCAGGAGAGGGATCAGGAAGTTTCCAGGGTGGAGGACACTGCTGGATGAACTGCAGCTGACAGCAAAGTGCAAAACTGAACATCCGGAGTGGCCTGACTGACCTCTCACACCCACACCCCCCCCCCTCCTCGCATCCCCATGGCAGGTGGGAGAGAAGGGGCTGGGGATTTGCGGGGGAAGGCCCCCTGAGCAGGTTGCCAGCTGAACGGATTCACCAGCGCCCACCGGCCGCCTGTAAGCTGACTCTTTATGACAAAGCAAGGGAGGGAGATGTGGGAACTCCCCCCTCCCCCGCAGAACCACCCACCAGGGCTCCACTTCTGCTGCTGCCCTACCGAAGAGAGAGGCCCCACTCAAAACCAGTGTGAAAGGCGCCAGCATTTACTTGGGAGCGCTCATCGCGCCACGCTCCACTGCACCAAGCTCTCCCCGTGGGTCCTCTCACCCATCCCACAAATGGGGCTGCTTCTTAGCCCCATTTCCTCCAGGCAACTGAGGCTCCGACAGGCCAAGTGCCTTGCCCTGGGGCAGACGGAGCTAGTCACCAACGGAGCTAAAAAGCTTTATTACCAGCCTAGGAGGAATCCTCCCATATGGAGGGGTGTTCTCGGCGCTGCACCAGCCGCAGGAAATGGCAGGGCACACGGGGAACTACCCCCTCGGGCTGAGGCGGCTACCGACAGGCCCCTTCCCGAGAGAGCCCTGGGGGGAAAGGGCGCCTGGTACCTCAGGGCCCGGGTCCTCCACAGAGGGCGATTCAGAGGCGGCACCTGGTGCCCGCGGCCGCGGGGAGCTGGTGGGCTTTTCTGACAGCGAGAACAGGGGCCCATTATGTAGAATCCAATCACATGGGCGCCCAAGCAGCTCGGCTTTCGTTCTGAGAAGCGCTTATGCAGCCGCGTCTCTCTCCCTTGGAGCCCGAGGTGCCCGGGAGTGCCTGGTTCCAGGCTCCCGGTAGGGCCAGATTCAAAGCTCCGGAGGCTCAGTTATACGCCGGGGGCTGGGAGCTGCATCATCAGCATCTCCAGTGCAGCCGGGCCCGGGCTGGGGGAGGAGGAGGAGGGAAGGAGTCTGCATCAGGGAAGGAGGCGGCAGCGAGCGCCTCCGCCTCCTTGCTCTCCACTCGGGGCAGGCGGGCAGCTCAGCCTGGGCGCTCCAGGTGACCTTGGGGAGACCCCCGGCGCGACCTCGCTGGGGCTGGATGAACAGTTTCAGCCCATCCTAGGCGCTCGGGGGCGCTCCTCCGGCCTGAGTCGAAGCGCGGGATTCAGGAAGAGAGGAGTGGTCCGGGCTCGGGGGACCCAGAGGCTGGCGCACGGCGGCCCTTTGGAGAGGCCGGGCGCACCTCTCCCTGGACACAACCACGCGCGGCGTCTCCCCGTGGACAGCGGGCTATGTCAGCGGGGTCCCGAGGCTGGATGGGTCGGCACGTGTGGTCGCCTGCCCCTGGGGACCTTTCCCGCCAGAGCAGGAGCGCTCCCTGAGTCTGGCCGCTGCCTGCGGAGACCAAGCGCCGCCACGCGAGGGGGCGGCGCCCCCTTGCCGGGCCCCGAGGCTGGGTGGCGGGCTCTTTGGTGCAGGTTGTAGCTCCGGATTCCTGTCAAGGAGCCCCCGGGCAGACAGCCACCCGAGAGTCCAGAACCAACCGAAATCTCCCTGCCTGTCGGGTCACGGTGACCGCGGCCAACAACCTGCCAACGAGCCCCTCTCTCCCTCCGGCCTCGTCGTTGGCGCGCGAGCCCCAGGGAGAACGCTCCAACACCAGCCAGCCTCCCTGGACCAGCGCTACCTGCACCTGCCTCTCCAGTACCCCCTCCCCCCAATTATCTTAAGCCGCCCGCGGGTCGCCAAAGCGCCCCCACACACCCCCAGCCAGGCTGTCAGAGGCCGGGACCACCTCCCCGCCTCCATACTCATCCCCCGCCCGCGGGGTCCAGCCGAAGAGCGCAGCGGTGAGGCGGCGCCTCCGCGGAACTCACCCTCTCTCCCGAGCCCTGCCCGGGCGGCTCCGGGCCCCGGCTCTGTCTGTCCCCGAGCCGCAGCTGCCGGTGAGGCGACTGAAGCCGGGCTGCTCGGCCGACTGCCTCCGCACCGCCCCTCGGCTCCTCCCCCAAGGCGGGGCCTGCGCTCCCGGGAAGCGGTGGGCGCGCTCCGCCGGGTCCAGCTGGCTGGGGAGCGCACGGAAGGGTCCTGGCTCTCTAAGGATCGGGGCCCCTCCTTTGAACAGCTGGAAATCGAAGGCAGTAGGGACACGCCCAGACTTCGGAATAGTTTTCCTTATAGTCGTCCCCCTTTCCCGCCACCACCAGCACCATGAGCAGGGAAGCCCAGGACGGCATCCTTGCTCCCATTTAACAGAAGGGCACCACCAGGAAGCCCAGAGAGGGACACTAACCTGCTAAGGTCACACAGAGTTAGTACAGCGCCGGGAATTCCAGTCTCTTTCCTTGAGGGCCTGAGCAGCCCGAATCTGAAGGCTGCAGAGGACGTCAAGGAGACCGGCCAGCCCTTGCCCCGAAGGGGCAGGTCCCCCAGGTGGAAGGCGGAGAGAAGGAGCGAGACAGGGGATGGGGGGGCTGTGGCCTGCGACGTGGACTTGTGTCATTTCCTCTTTCTGGGAAGAAAGGAGGTGAGGCGAAGAAGGAAGGAAGTGGTCGTACCTCTGCTGACGTAGGCCATGACCTAGAAAGGGGCTGCCTCCCTGAGATTTAAGGCTAAAAATGGGGGGAATAATGTTTTAAGGCAATAACTCTGCGGCTTCTATCATTAAATTTAAGCCTCTTTCATGGGCTGAGAGCTCTGAGCTCCACCTTTTCTCTGCAAGACAAGGGATTTAACTACCTTCAGGCTGCTGTCAAGAGGGCCCTACTCCCCCCTCCCTCACAGGAGGAGGAGAGAAAGTTAACAAAGGGGAAAAATCCAGCGCACAGCATTCTCTGGAATCCACGCTCCTTGAGCACTGGCTGTCGAACAATGGAGTCCTCTTCTCCACAAAGGGCCTTGTTTCCTGAACTGTCTCAGCCTCCAGATTAGAGCCCTAGGGCCAGCCAGCCGGGTGCAGACAAGGTTTACGGTTTGGTGGGCTTAGGGGTTGTACCCCGTTAATTCAATTCCTGGCAGGCTTGTGTGAAGAACTCCTTTAGGTTATTACTAGCAATGTTGCCCTGAGGCTGACAGCATAACCTGAGTTCAGTGATGTTCTGCTTGCTAAGGAAACTCAGTGACCTTTCCTGGGGAGGGGAAAACCTCTGTGCTGGCCTTATCCCTGGCCCCCCACCGGATCCTCTGACAGACCCACCACCCATCTCCTGGCTCACTGCCAGCTCATTAGTAATCCAGCTGTGAATGGCACTGTTTCAGTAGGAGCAATCGGAGAGCAGAGGAGGTGGGGAGGGATTAAAATGATGTTTAAAATAACTCAGGGAGATCATGGTTCTCCACAGAACATTTCCATGCACTTGTCATGAAGAGCTGTGGGCTGAGGGGGCGGGACTTCATCTCTCCAAGGCAGGAGAACTCAGGAGTCTGTGTTCCTGAAACGCAGCCTTGAGGATGGGCCCAAATTCCTGGACCGTACTGTCCACTCACACCACTCACAGCGTTTGATACCAGAAGTCCAAGTGTGCTCAGAATAAGGTGGAAGACTCACACTTCCTGGTTTCAGAACTTACTCTGGTAACCAAGACAGTGTGATGCACATGTAAGGACAGACATACAGAGCAACGCAATAAACCTGAGAGTCGGATTATACAGTCTTACATTTACAACCAGCTGATTTTCAACGAGAATGACAAGACAAGTTAATGAAAAAAAGAAGCGTCTTTTCAACAAATGGTGCTGGCTGGGACAATTAGGTCCCCAGATGCAAAAGAATGAAGTTGGACCCCTTACCTCACATCACACACAAAAATGAGCTCAGAGTGAATCAGACTAAAATGTAGGAGCCAAAGCTGCAAAACTCCCAGAAGAAAACATAGGTGTATACAACGGCCTTGGAGTGAGTGATGGTTTCTTAGACCCAACCCCTAAAGCACAAGCAACAAAGGAAAAAAATAGACAAGTGGGGTTTCTCTAAAACAAAAAATCTTTGTGCTTCAAAGGACACCATCATAAAAAGTAAAGAGAGAACTTGTGTGCTAAATTGTGTGTCCCCCCAAATTCACATCTTGCTGTCCCGAACCCCAGTACCTCAGAATACAAACTGTATTGAAAGAGCTTTAAAGAGGTGATTAAACCAAACTGAGGTTCTTAGCATCCTAAGGACCCTCATCCAGTTGGACCCTAATCCAGTATGACTAGTGTCCTCATAAGGAGACGGGCATCAGGGATGCACACACGGAGGAAAGCCCTTGTGCAGACACAGGAAGAAGGTGGCCGTCTACAAGTTAAAGGAGAGAGGGCTCTGGAGAAACCAACTCTGCAGATACCTTGATCTTGGACTTCTAGTCTCCAGAACTGTGGGGAATAAATTTCTGTTGTTTAAGCCGCCCCACCTGTGGTATTTTGTTATGACAGTCTTTACAAACCAATGCAATAACCCACAGAATGGGAGGATACATCTGCAAATCACATATCTGATAAGGGACTTGTATCCGGAATACATAGGAAACTCTTACAATGCAATCATGAAATACCAAATAACTTGATTAAAAATGGATGAAAAATCTGAATAGATATTTCTCTAAAGAAAATATACAGCCCTGGCAGGGTAGCTTAGTCAGTTGGAGTGTCATCCCGATACACCAAGGCTTCAGGTTCAATCCCCAGTCAGGGCACACACGAGAAGCAACCAATGAATGCATGGATAAGTGGAACAACCAATCAATGTCTTCCTCCTGCTTCCTCTCTCTCCCCCTCTCTTTCTCTCAAATCAATATAAATACATACATACATTCATACATATATATGGCCAACAAGTACATAAGAAGATACTGAACATTATCAACCATCAAGGAAATGCAAATCAATACCACAGTGAGATACACTTTCACACTCACTAGGATGGCTATGATCAAAAAGACAGGCAGTAACCAGTGCTGACAAGGATGTTGCGAAACTGCATACGTTGCTGGTGGGGATGTAAAATGTTAAACGTAGGTTTACCAGATGACTCAGAAATTCCACCCCAGGTATATACCCAAAAGAAATAAAAGCATACATCGATGCATGAACTTGTACACAAATGTTCATGGTAGCATTAAGGATAAGAGCCAAAAAGTGGGAAAGCCCAAATGTCCATCTAATGACAAATGGGTAAATGAAATGTGGTACGCCTATGCAGCGCAAATTATTTGGCAATCGAAAGGAATGAAGGAGTCCTGATGCATGCCACCACGTGGATGGACCTTGAAAGCGTGCGCTAAGTGAAAGAAGTCAGATGCAAAGCCGCATATTGTGTGGCTCCCTTGACATGAAATGTCCAGTGTAGGCAAGTCTACAGAGACAGAAAGTAGACTAGTGACTGTCTAGCATTGGCAGGGGGTTGGAGAGGCGAGTGCAGAGTGACAGGTGAAGGGCACCAGTTTCCTTTTGGAATGATGAAAATGTTCTAAAATTGATTGTGGTAGGGGTTGCACAGTGATGAATATACCAAAACCATTGAATTGTACAGTTTAAATGGGTGAATTGTGCAGGGGGTGAGTGACATCTCAATAAAGTTTGTACCTCCCAAAAGTTAAACTATTCTCTGGTCCTTGAAAACAACACTGACCATGTCCTCCAAATCTCTCTCTTGCCCCCAGGCCATGCATGAGTAGCAAGTCCCCTTATACTGAGGCCATCTGTGATCTGTTAGATATTAGGGGACAGTCCACAGCTAACGAACACTCTAATAGACTATGGAAAATATTTGAGAATCTGAAAATAAATGGATTGGCCCCAACATATAAAATCTGGAACACTGATGTTTACAAATATAGAATTAAATATCTATATAACTTTAGGTCAACCAGTCAACTGCAATTCAAGTACTCAGAATTATGTATAAATTACATGGAAAATAGAATTTGATGAATTACATGGCTATTATGATGCAAGGCAAGGACTCTAGAATAAGGAAAGCCTATTCTTAGAGACTCTGGTATGTAAAAAAATAAAGAAGAGCTAATCCAGCTCTAAGGAATTTATTTTCATGGTTATTTAATGCCCTGGTTTTAATGCCAGCCAGTGGGCAAGTGCAGGGTTGGCTGCGTGCATTCATTCAACAAACAGTCCAATGCCTGGCCCAGGTAGGCCTTGAGAGGCGGCGGCTGCTGCTGGTGAAGATGTTGGTTGGCTCCAGGCCAGGCCCAACCAACAGATGTGCAGGAAGTGCCGAGGGCGCCCCAAGGCCCAAGTGAAAAGGAGCCAAGTGGGGCAAAGACATCCCAGGTAAGAACCCTGGCTCTGCCATGACCCCACTGGGCAGGCATTTCCCCTTCCGGAGCGTCCGTTTCCTGGTCTATAAAACTCCAATTGTACAATACTTGTGTGTATTTTTGTGTGCACGTTCCCCCATGTCTCCACGCTTTGGAGGGAAGTGACCTCTCTTCAACCTTTGTTGTGCACTCCCTAAAGAGCACAGGCTGAGCTGTTTGCACCCCCATCCGTGGTGCGGAGGGAGCACAGATGTTTGTGGGTAGCAGGTGCGCTCAGTCCTGTGATGCTGTGAGTTTAAGAGTAACTCGGTGGGGGCTGACAGATTTTCATTTTTATACTCAGTTTAGAGAGAACCCTCCTATCCCTGTGGCTCTCAATCTTGGCAGGACTTTGGAATTTCTTTCTTTGTTTTTTCTTTTAAGATTTTATTTATTTATTTTTAGAGAGGGAAGGGAGGGAGAAAGAGAGAGAGAGTGAAACATCAATGTGCGGTTGCTGGGGGTCATGGCCTGCAACCCAGGCATGTGCCCTGACTGGGAATTGAACCTGTGACACTTTGGTTCTCAGCCCGCACTCAATCCACTGAGCTATGCCAGCCATGGCTCAGGACTTTAGAATTTCAAAGGGACCTTTTAAAAGTGTTGATGCCCAGGCCCTACCCCGGACCATGCAAATCAGATTCTGGAGGTGGGGCTTGTACTTTCAAACACACACGCATACACACAGATCAAAAAAAACTCCCCAGCTGAGTTGAAAACGCAATGTGCAGCC